TGTGTGTGTATATATATATATATATATATATATATATGCAAATGTATTACGTAAATTACATTAATTACAAATAAATACTCACAGGGATGCACATATGTGGTGTGTGGGTGCGCATGTGCAACCAAACTAAAAAATGCAGTGGGTAAATAAGTTCAGACCTCTCAATTTGCGTACAGACATGGTTGACAGCTGTTAATGCACAATCACCGTTTTAGATTGACAAACTGTAATACTGTATAAGATTTCCATTCGAACTGAAAGCATAAATCTAGGCTATGCGCTGCCTGTTTCAGAGCAAGTTGAAATGGAAAAAAGCACCCATCTATCCCACTCTTCAGTATCTCTCCTCAATTATCATACGAGTTCAGACCTTTTCCTGGTAACTATTTAACTTCTGCCATATTGTTTCATGTCCCATTACAACCCTTTATGGGAACAGCAAATTAATTTAGAGACTTCTGCTCTTTTGTCTTGTCCCTACAGGGTTTTAGCTTTTGTCAGCCTCTCTGTCAGCTCAGACATTCAGGCATCACGATGGACTGTTATCTCACTCTCATCCTATCTGACTATACAAAAACCAAGACACTCCTCACCTCTCAAGATAAAGTATGAATGGTGTCATGATGATTTACAATTCACTCCTTAATGAGAGACATCCATCAATAGTGTGGAGTAGGGCTGTGCAATATATCGAAATATCGCAAATGTACATATCGCAATATGCATATCGCTACAGCTTGCAATATTTGGGGCTATGAACAAAAGACAAAAAGAAAATCACTCACTGCTCTTACCTAAATAACTTTTGTAGCTTAAATAAGAATCCGTGCATATTGAATTCAAAGAGGAAATACTAAGCAGTGTTTTATTTTTCCTTTTTATTATTCAGTTCCTAAACTCATGTTAAAATGATTACACTAATGTTAAAATGACATTTTTATGTAATGCTCGAGTAAAACACATACCATTCACTTTCAGAAGTTGTTGTAGGGGTGCTTTCTTATTAGAATCAGAATCAGAATGAGCTTTATTCACCACTTAAGTGTGCGCAAACACAAGGAATTTGTTGGGGTTTTACAGGAGCTCTTGGTGCATACATACATACATACAAATAACCATATATAGCCTATATGACACAAGATCGTTATAGAAGTTCACAGAACTGACTCAGCAACAGCTGAGTAAAACTGTTTCATCTGAGCATTTTACTATTGCATCCACCTGAAAGTTCACATAACACAGTGTAATTAAGTAAACTCAACAAATTTGTAAAAATCTGTTATGTTTACTCGCTTTTCTTAAGTAGATTCAGTGATTACTTTTTACAGTGATACATACAAATAACCATATATATAGGACACAAGATAGTTATAGAAGTTCACAGAACTGACTCAGCAACAGCTGAGTAAAACTGTTTCATTTGAGCATGTGGCACTTTAAGCATCATCGTATCACATATCGAATATCGCATTATTTAATGAGTTATCGCATATCGCATTTTTCTTCAATATCGCACAGCCCTAGTGTGGAGTGTGTTAAGTAGAACAGACTGCGGTGTGTTGAGCTCTGTTTTTAGCCATTAATCTGCCTTTTCAAAAGGACATCAAAATTGAATCTGTTTACTTAAATTCACATTCCTGGTCTAATTGCAAATGAAAAGGGAGAGATTTTTATTCAACTGTTTTGGAAAGCATATCTGTATGCTGGTGGCCTGAAAACCAAATCACCATATGCAAAATAGTGAGTCATAGCTTCTGTAATGTACCAGAAGAGGCCATCTGAATCAGATTAGAGATTACTTTTAAGAAAATATTACCATTGTAATATTTGTAACAATAGAATGCAGTTTCACAGGTGGAAGACATTAGCCTTGTTAGAACAATTAAATGTATTTAGGACAGGTGCCTCCATGCCAAACAGAATGGGCAAATCTTTAAAAACATAAAAGGTGTGATCTAATAGTGAGTAGTTGTGTGAGACATTCAGAGTAAATGCTTTGCTTTCATGGTCATGCACACCAGGACTGGGAGGTCCAGTACTCCTTTCAGCTGTCTGTGGAGATGCTAAATTCTGTAATATGCATATCAAAGAGTCTGGCATCAACACTTAACCCAGTGCAGTTCATTAGAAGTGAGTCATGAATCTATGTGCCTGCACACACAGGCACATAAATGTGTGTGCCATAAGAGTCATGAGCAGGCATACTCAGAATCTGCATCCGCAAAGCCATAGAATTGGAACACCCATCATTCATGAAGTTCTACACGTCAATGCCCCATGTATACACTTCAGTTATGGCTGAAATAGGCGCCAAGTTTGGTAGTTATTTAGGTCAAAATACCACAGAATGTTTACTGAGATCTATCTTGGTATCCTACTTGGAGCACACTGCTGTTACTCAAACTGTTTTATGCTTTCATTGACTTGTTTCTGTATTGTTACTTCATTTCAGGTTACCTTCACACTGTTGTTGGGGCCCTTCACCTTTTTCAATGCGCAGAAGACCAAATACCTCCAGATCCTTACCTCTCTAATGAGATGGATTGGTGAGTTATTTTCTATTTTATTATTATTATTTTTTTTTAATGTATTTGTTTTAGATTTTGACAGATCCCTGACTTAAACCCAATTGAGCATCTCTGGAGAGACCTAAAAATGGCTGTCCACCAACGTTTACCATCCAACCTGACAGAACTGGAGAGGATTTGCAAGGAGGAATGGCAGAGGATCCCCAATTCCAGGTGTGAAAAACTTGTTGCATTTTTCCCAAAAAGACTCATGGCTGTATTAGATCAAGAGGGTGCTTCTACTAAATACTGAGCATTTTTCAGTTTTTCTTTTTTAATAAATCTGCAAAGATGTCAACAATTCTGTGTTTTTCTGTCAATATGGGGTGATGTGTGTACATTAATGAGGAAAAAAAATTAACATAAATGATTTTAGCAAATGGCTGCAATATAACAAAGAGTGAAAAATTTAAGGGGGTCTGAATACTTTCCGTACCCACTGTATATATATATATATATATATATAGCCTAAAAAAATCTGCTGTAGTATTCAAGATTTACCTTAGGAACAAAATAAATTACATAACACTGTATTTTTTTCTGCAAGTAATTTGGTGAAAGCTTTAAAAATATTTGTACAGGATAAGTGCATTAAAATATTTTTTTTTTTTCATTTTCCCATTAACTTTTTTTTATTTACTTACTGTATGCCTCTTAAAGGTACGCCATCATGGTTAGTACATTGTTCGGCTCCTCTGCAGTGTAGCCAGGGTCTGTCAATCATAAATGCGTCCCGCTCCATGTCTCCGCCTTCTGTCTCCCTCATACTTCAGCCTGACAGGCTAGACAGGCCGTCTCAGGTGTGATTGGGCAGTCACTTACCAGACGACAGGCCCAAAATAAAACCGCCCTTCCTCAGCCACCGCTCAAATCACAGCCGCGCTGAATCGTGGTTTCTGCTCCCATGTGCACGCAGTGGTGAATGAACGTGTACGACGGACAAAGAACACGTATTCTTGCACGCACATTTGCAGTGCCTATAGACCTTTAAAGAAACAACCATACGCCCTTTTGCTCACCATTCTCTGCTCTTCGTCTCATTGATTCAAAATTAGATGTGAATGAGAGTCATTGGCCTGGTGGATACATTTCCTAACAGCTCCAGGGGCAATAAGAAGGCAAAAAATGGAGGCAGTTGTTCTAGCTGTGTAGATTTCGCTAATGCTAAATGTTTGAAAGTGGTGCTGTGCAACATTGTGCAGCAATTACTCAAAATTTATGTATCAAGAAATGTATAGACAGAGTACAGAAATCTGCTGATTAGCATATGCACCCATATTTCTTCCATCTGTGTTTTAATGTACTGCTGTTTAAGGGCACTATAATCTGAGGGGTGAAGTAACACATCCTGCTTGCTTCAGCAACATATACTGCTGAATGTAGGTAAAGTGCACAGCAGTGCTGTTATTTCTCAGACTGTTTATCCAGAATGTCCTCTTGCTTTATTAGCCATGTGAATCAATATGGGGTCATTTGCATTATGTATGTATTATGTATAATTCCATTTGAGCGTGAAAGACATCACTGGTCTAGCTGGCCACTGTTTGCTTTGTATTGCAGTTTTATTTCTTTTTGCGGAAATACATCACGGGTGCCCTGCAGCAAAGAGGCCATCTTTTTGTATGTGTGCTGCCCTTATCTTTCTCTGTTGCTGTTTTTCCTTCTTCTATTCTGAATCTCTAGAGAGCTAAAGTAATTATTTGATAATGCATTCTTTTCATTTTTAGTCTACAGTATTATTTAGAGCCGTTCAGATCTAGAACTAGAATATCTGCAAGTCCTTAAAGTATTCAAATGTGTTGAATTCACTTTTCAAACTTTAGGGATGTGTAAAAAAATCTTTTTTTTAAAAATCTGTGTAAAAATATGAAATATCTTGCATAGTATAAACTCATTTTGCAACTTTAATTGTCCTCAGAATTGTTGTATTTTATCACGTTTTATTTTAAAAAGTTTTTTCATCTGTTACACAGTACTAATCACCAATCCTTATAATCAAAATTGTTACTTTTAAAGCTTCACTATTAATGTTGTTATATTATTAATATTAATTAATATTCAAATATTAATATCAATATTCATGTTTTTTCATCTTTATTTTGCAAAATTGGTAAACAAACTTTTCTTACATTTTAAACATTTAAAATAATCAGTTGATTTTTACATAGTTATTCAGATATTCTGCAATGGTACTTGGTTTACAAATTGTTTTCCAGCTGTACTTATTAATCATTCTGCCAGGCAGGACCAAATTTGATTCACAGACAAAACAAACCAAAAAATAAAACAAATTCAAATCTTGTCTAAGTTTTAGATTGGATTGAATTTTTAGTGTGATCCAGCAAGAGTCAAGGGTTTTATTTCTTTTTGTATAGCTATCATTTAACATTTGGACATTTTAATACGCAGAGTGATCTATGAACAATCTCAGTTTTTAATTAGTATGAAAAAACAGCCTCATCTATGTTAATGGAACTTATAAATTAAAATGACTACTTTACCATAGACTTACCATAGATTGAGGCACTGGTATTTGTCCCTGAGGAGAAAAACAGGTAGCCAAATCTAATATAAAGCATGTGATTAGTCTGTGATATATTTCCGCAGAGACTTTATTATGACCAACATTTGCATTGAATATAAAGTGGACAGATATTTTTTGCATGATGATGCTAAACTATATATTTGACTTGGCACTGGCAACTAATTTCCTACATATCAGTGCTAGTTTCATGACTCTCGTATCAATCCACGGCTTCTTTTTAGCCCACATAATCTTTTTGTATAGCTATCATTTAACATTTGGACATTTTAATACGCAGAGTGATCTATGAACAATCTCAGTTTTTAATTAGTATGAAAAAACAGCCTCATCTATGTTAATGGAACTTATAAATTAAAATGACTACTTTACCATAGACTTACCATAGATTGAGGCACTGGTATTTGTCCCTGAGGAGAAAAACAGGTAGCCAAATCTAATATAAAGCATGTGATTAGTCTGTGATATATTTCCGCAGAGACTTTATTATGACCAACATTTGCATTGAATATAAAGTGGACAGATATTTTTTGCATGATGATGCTAAACTGTATATTTGACTTGGCACTGGCAACTAATTTCCTACATATCAGTGCTAGTTTCATGACTCTCGGATCACTCCACGGCTTCTTTTTAGCCCACATAATACAATAATTTGATCTCAAATCAATATTTCATGTCCATTTAATTTTTTTGGTAAGTGGTGTAGTAATAACAAGGAGAATATACTCAAGCAGTCATCCCAAAATAAACCCCTTCCGAGTGATACAAGACACTTTCAGACCCTTGCCATCCTTTTAGGGTTTATTTTGACAGGCTGACTCAACTTTCATCCATTATGTAGTGTGTTTACAAATCAAGTAACCATACAGTGCTGTTATTTCATACCAAAACCCAAGCGGTCAAAGTTCCCTCAACATACTTCCACAGTTTTCCTCTTTATTGATTAATAATGGCTTATCTATACATTAGTCCAGCCGTTCTTCTGTTTTTGAATTTGAACCAGACATGAACTTCTCATGCTGGTCTCCCAATAGGTTGACCAGTCACCTGTCATCTCTTTTCCTCTCTCTATTCGCCCTTTCCAGTCTTGGTGCTAGTTTCATGACTCTCGTATCAATCCACGGCTTCTTTTTAGCCCACATAATACAATAATTTGATCTCAAATCAATATTTCATGTCCATTTAATTTTTTTGGTAAGTGGTGTAGTAATAACAAGGAGAATATACTCAAGCAGTCATCCCAAAATAAACCCCTTCCGAGTGATACAAGACACTTTCAGACCCTTGCCATCCCTTTAGGGTTTATTTTGACAGGCTGACTCAACTTTCATCCATTATGTAGTGTGTTTACAAATCAAGTAACCATACAGTGCTGTTATTTCACACCAAAGCCCAAGCGGTCAAAGTTCCCTCAACATACTTCCACAGTTTTCCTCTTTATTGATTAATAATGGCTTATCCATACATCCAGCCGTTCTTCTGTTTTTGAATTTGAACCAGACATGAACTTCTCATGCTGGTTTCCCAATAGGTTGACCAGTCACCTGTCATCTCTTTTCCTCTTTCTATTCGCCCTTTCCAGTCTTGTGCTTTTTCCCATGATCCTCTCTGCTCTCAGTCATTACTCACAGCAGACAGCAGGACAAGCAGGCACGTCCCTTGCGTGCCTCCATTCACCCATAATGCACAGAAGGAGAGACCGTGCCTGCTCCTGTGTCAAACGAGATGTGGTAAGTAGGGTTCAGTTCAGTTGGCGTCAGGGGAGCCACTTTGTGCTTTAGCCTCGATGCCATCTACTGCCAGCACCGTCACTCTGTTCAGCCTTACGTATCCAGAAAGCAGAGCTCAATTATTAGCTCAGCGACCATGGCAGCCTCATACTTGAGTTAATACTGCTTGTTGTGGGTTGTTTCTCATCTGTGCGCAGATATAAAACCTCAGCAGTCTCAGAAGCCATAGACTCTCAGTCGCCACTTGTATGAAATTCATGAAGCGGCTTGTTTACCAGGAACACAGATATGGCGTCTTGTATGCAAAGCTGTGCGTCTTCACATGCATTATTTAAAGGCAGTTTTATTGCGGGAGTAATTTAAATGGGAAGGATCACCTCCTCTCAGCACTGAAGTAGAGAACATTTATCAGCTTTTGACGTGGAAAGCGAAATGAGTCAGTGAGGTTGCCGCTTTAATTCATATTTAGTGTGAACGTTGAGGAACAGACAAAGAGCGTGTGATTACTCCCTGGAGATTAATGACTCCATGTTGCATTGCTGTGGTGGGCTACCGAACGCTCCTCAGAGACTGTATTACTGTTAATGGTGCTAGAACAAGGTGCTCAGGACTCAAAAAATCTGTTGTTCAGGTTGAAGACATCATTTGCATTATTTTATATGTTCCTACAGCTCAAACAGTAGAATGCTAACAAGGTCATGGGT